CTCTCCCACATTATTGTAGAAACGTCTTCTTCTAATATCCGTTAGAGCAGGCAGCACCAGATTCTAATAACAACAGCGCCGGTACCGGTGCACCCTCCCTCTCTCCCTCATTCGCTCCCAAGCTCACTCGCACTTTGGCTGTGAGCTGCGGGCGCCAGATAAGCCAACATCCCCCATTTTCATCACTTACAGCGCCCATCGTACAGGGCAAATGAAAAGTGTAACCGGTGTCAAAAAAGGGTGTTACATTTACTTAATTATGAATGTTGTTACATCAAGGCCGAAAATTAGGATTAGCACCAACGGTCAAAAATATTTTTCTACCAGCGCAGCGCCTCCCCAGATCTGGCGCCCTAGGCGAACATCTATAACGCCAGTGCTACGGGCCGGCCCTGGACGGGGGCCACAACATAGAGGGGAAAGTACCGGATGGGTTGCTCTCATCAATAGTCCAGGAAAGTCGTCCAGCAGCACAGAGAACAGAGCTAAATCAAAAGTGAAGCCAAACCATGCAGTTAAAGTGAGGCTCAAATGACCCTCTGACATATCCCCAAGTGCCCCGGTCATGTCTGCTGCCTCCCCAGGGGCCGTGCTCCGGACTCCATGGAACCAGCGTGTTTAAGCAGCCAGGTCCAGTGGAGGCTCTGAAACAGATGCTGTTCAGACTGCAGGCGGTGGAGGCGGAGCTTCAGAGACAACCACAGGCTCCAGCTGCTGCAACACCTGCTGACAGGCTGCACACAGAGGAGGCTCCACTGAAGCAGGTAACATCACAGCGTGCTTCCAATGCTCATGTGAAATAATATAGCTTGTGATGCTAAATAGGGTTTACCTCATCTATTCCTTACAAAAGTCCCTGAACATACCTCAGGGCTCTGCTGTCAACATTCAGCTGTGCTGTGAGGAACAAAGCTAACTCGTGGAGAGAAAAATACCTGAGACGTCTGTAGGAGGAGACTTAAGAAGACCAAATTCACCTGCCAAGTTCATGTTAACTTTTACAGAGGTACAATCAATCCGTGCTCTCTGGAAATGTTCTTCAGAGAATCAAACTAAGCACCTATTTAACAGCTGATTGGGAATAAAAGCGGTCAGAACAGAAGTTTGTGTCTGACAAAATGCAATGTTAGTAGCCTTATCTTATTCCTCCTTATTTCCATCTTCTTTGCCCAGAGAAATAGTATTATACATCCAACTTTTCTGTTATTCCTCTCGTTTGCAGATTGAAACAGCTTCAATGTCCACTTGCTGTCATGGTGACACAAGCAACTTGTTTAGATTTAGCTTTGCAATTTTGTTGCATCAAGCCTAATTAAGATAACTGCAACTGCAGTTTGTGCTTTAGAATCATTAGAACAGGGGTCGGGAACCTTTTTCCTATCAAGGGCTATTTACATTTTTACAACATCCTTCAAGGGCCATTCTAATTGTTGAACTTATAACCTCTGCTAAAGTGAAGACAGATAACACATTAAACTCAGAGGAATCACTCCTGAGTTTATAAGGGCCCGAGCACGGAGCGCTAGGACCCGACGGCGTCCTAGCACGAAGTGCGAGGAACCTATTGTTATTGGTGGTATTATTATTATAGTGCTGGCATTTCCTCTTTTTGACGGATTGAGACAGCGTGGTGTCCAGAAAGCTGCAGAGACTTCAGGGAGAAACCTCCGTGTGATGGACGTCCTGTCTGTTGGTTTGGAGAGGACTAAGGGTCTTTCCTCTGCGAGGGGGACCAGGCCTGATGGAGGAGCCCATGCTGGGCAAAGCTGATACCAACTGCACAGGCCTAGTCTGTCACTTTATTTGACTAAATGTGTTTACTTATACATTTAATAGGTTTACACCTTCTGTCCATATGTGCGTTTAATTTAAAACATTTGATTAACTTTTGGTTCACATTTCAATAAATTGTATTTGTATTTGCACTCCTTTCATCCATTATTCTTACTGAAAATGTTAGATTACACATTCACATCTGACTGAAGATTGGCCCTATTTATTTGTGACGTTGCAAACTCTGTGGTACAAGGCACAAGTGATGTGAAGCTCATAAAGCGAGGCAAACAGAAATAATCAGCTGATGGAGTGTAGATGTGGAAATAGGTGCATTCGATCAGCTGACTGTTTTTACAATAAAAGTAGTTTCTTAGTGTACTGGTCTTAAAATCTCAGGAGAAAATGTTGTGTCTTTCAGGCATGTCCTTTCCTAACAAAAATTACAGGAAACATAAAACATATTATTGCAGAACAAGTGTGTTATTTATG